ACGGGTGTCATCGGGTCAAAGGACAACGAGAGACTGACCCGATCCACACCGGCTGGACGTCGCCGACGACACGGCCGTTCTTTGGCAATAAAACGTGACGCACGACAGAGAAACAGAAGAATCGCGTTATGCCACTGAGCTATGACGGTCTAACTATGCCGGGAGTTAACCGTGATGGGAGCGGCCTTCCGGGTGAAACCGGATGTTCGTTCATGTCTATTACGCGTCGCCTTTCAACATTGTGCAACCTGGTCGTTCGGGCGGTTCGATGGAATTTAAAGAGTTTTCGTGGAACGACCTACATGGAAATGTCAGTTTTTTAAGTCTTCATGGCTTCATAACAAGACCACTTTCATAGTTTTATCGATTTGATCGGAAATTGCTCGAAAAGTGACGGTCCATGTCGGTTGTTCTTTCTTTTCATCCATCTCGGTTATTCCTTCCTTTCTTCCATGTCGGTTATTAGTACAGTTTTTGCCTAGAACCACTCGAGGATCGATCTTACACAAGACGCGTTACACCGTAGCTTCTTTATCTACTACTTTCATTTAACCCCTCTCGGCCTTCTCAATTTTTTTTTCCTCTTCCGTATCTCCCACCTACACCTGTCCAAGTTATCCACTCTTCGGCACGTAACTTGTTTATTATACGAAGCCAGTACCTCGAGTCTTAACGATTCAATCAGGATGTGTGCGTGTGTGTGGAGGCAAGTGTTCGCCCGGTTTTATCCGGCTGAAAATTCGTTAAAATATCCTCGAGGATGGTTACACGCGTTTTCGTCGATCTACGAGGGGGCTGGGAAGGATGAGAAAAAAATATGGTGAAATGAAAGGACTTAATACCGCGAGTTGAAATCTATTTAAACTCGGCCCCCCGGCTGTATTTTTAGCGATCGCGAATAGGAAAGAAGACAGAGAGGTGGAATTGGTCGGGATGTATGAGAAAGATGCATCGAGATAGAGCCGTAACAGACACACACGTACACACTGCTCCTGTTGTACACACTGTCACGAAACTTGCCGACAATAGATCGAACTGGCGCGCACGGCCGGCAGGAAGTGCTTCCCATTTCGTTTGTGAATAGCTACGTACGCGCTCACACGTTTCCCAGTTCTCGTGTAAGTCGAATGAACGTACCGAACCGGATCGCCCTAGAACTACGCTTCTCCGGCGCCTATGTCGCGCAACAAAACAAAACGAAAAAAAAAAAGAGCGAGTGATAGATGAAGTGAGAGAAAAAAACATAAAACTGGCCATCCGATTCGATCATCCGGCACTCCGTTCCTTTCATAATCGCAAATGTCATTCGGTCGACGAAGAAAATGAAACTTTTGACAATCCTTCTTTTTTTTCCTCCGGCCAGCCCGTAATACGCGCGTCACGTCGCATAAAATCGCCGAACCGACACGACTCGCGGACATTTTCACCTGGTACACGCTCGCTTGCTCTCTCGTGCGCTGTGTGCGAACTGAATCTTGATCTTTTTCGAGAATAGTTACCTCCCTCCACCGCGAAAGTGGGCGATTCCAGATGGAACCCGCGAGGAAGCGGAGTTTTTAAATGCAAACTTGATCGCATGAATAAAAGATCCCCACCGGGCGACGACGTCGACGGTTCGAGGAGCACGAATGCGAAATGCGATAAGCGACGCGCGGTCGGTAATTTGCCTAGCTCGTCTCCGATTATTATACATATATACTCGTTAATGTAGTCTCGAATGGCGTGAATTTAACCTGGTGATAAGTTCTTCGTCGTCTCAATCAGTTTTTCTTTTATTAGTCGGCGCTCAAAGGCGCGTGAACGGTGGTGCTCCACTCGGCAGGGTTCAATCACCGTCGCGATTTCTTCTTCGGCCGCGTCTACAGAAGGAGAGCCGAAGGTTTAAATTGAAGTAATTAAAATCCCAGGCATAGGAGGGCCAGAAAAGTTGGCTATTGTCGGGTCGTGAGCGTGCGCGCCTTGTTAAATTTCTCGGTCGAGCGCAAGTCTCTATTTCCAAGTGGAGCGAAACGGATGGCCAATGGCCAATGATGACTCCCGTCTTTCTTCCGCTTCCCTTTCCCGTCTCCGTCGGTTTTCTCTCCCTCCTCGTTCACCGACGTCGACTTTTTCGGAACCCTTTCTGCTTCTTTTTTAAGGTCTCTTTTACTCTCCTCGTCGTCTTTTCCCTTTTCTTCTACCCCCCCCCCTCGCCCCTCCTTTTTTCCCATGGATACTACTACCTCATGGGAAATCCCTTGAAAGGGAAGCATAAAGACCGACGCGGCTAACGAACAAAAGCGTCCTGACGCGGGGATTTCATGAAAATTCTTGTCCCCGTCTTTTTCGAATATATTTAAGAAGATTAAGGAATCCATGGATCGGCGTTGTTAACATCGAATGAAAGTCATAGGGGAACAACGATAAGGGGATGGATTAAAGCTTGACCGTTGCAGAAGTATTTGGGTTGGCCATACGTTCGTGCTTCGTCTTTAAGTCGGCTGATGTTGCCGAAGCCGATGTAAACGGTTCTCTGCGCTTCATTGTGCGATACTTCAGGAATTTTTTCAATTTTTTGCTTTGTTAAACGTTAACGAGAATTATTGTCGGTTTAACACTTCGTATGGTTGTTGTGTATCTCTCATGGCCGGGCAGAGCGTGATGCTTCTTGGAGCGAAAAATCGCCGGAACGAAATTTCGCAAACCACTCTCCTGGCACACGCATTCTTCTGATACCATTCTATACGTACACATCGTATAACTTTTTCAGGTTTGAAATAACCATGTGCTTTCAAGAGTTGAACTAATATTATTTGCGTTTCGCACGAACGATTTGGCCAATCAAGTAGTAACAATAAAAAAATTGCAAAGCTCGATTAGAGTATTTTCACCTTTCATATCCTAGAGTGACTAAAAAAACGACAGAATATCATCTGTGGTCAAGTTATTAATCTCAACTATTAATGCACTCCTTTCAATTATTTCTCGTTCGTGTTTTTAACAGTATTCGCCTCGTTATTCCACTCACCTCAACAATGACTTTCCCCCCCCCAACATCGCCGGTGAAATGAATCGAATCGTGATGTCATTGAAGCTCACTGGCAAGGAAGAAATCAGTGTCGGATGTCGACAGGATAACTCGTAAACGGCGCGCGATTTAGAACGTCTCATCGTCTTTCCGGTCCTCTTCCTCTTCCTTTTTTTACGTTAAATCTCTCCGGTCTCAAGTCGCTAAGAAAAATCTTCCGTGTCTCGTGTCCCCGCTGTCGCGGCCAGAGCAACAACGGGGAAACCAGTCAGCCTTCCTGATACATTTCCAATATTCCCGCGACGTTCTTGTTTGCATTATGCCGTCCGCAAGATTATTGACATCGGCAATAACGAGGACGATTCCCCCGTTTCGCGGTCAAAGGGATCGGGGCCTGGATTGACATCGCGGGCCGCGTTAGCTTGCAATTTATTATCGTACCCGCTGAAAGCATCGTTCATTTCCACTTGGTCCTGCGAAAAGCAGCCGAGGCGTCGCACAGTGATCCAAAATCGAAACTTAGCAGCTTATAGGCTTATTTAGTTCAAGAAATTAAAAACGTTGATACTTACAAATTTTATTCAAACAGAAGTAGTTGAATGAACACATTTTTATGAATTTCAGAAATCCTCTTCGATAATTTCGTCATTCACTAACAGTTTCTCCTAACATCTTCACGAAAGTCTGAATTTTTAGGAAAGCTTTTTTTCTATTTTTGACTGAGATTAATGATACCACAGGGTTTAAGGATAACAATAATACATGGAACAAATCTTCCACGGTAAATAATAAGTAGATTACAGGTTTTTGGAAGATGAAATAAAGTTATTTTCGATCTGATTGAGCTGCAGAATTTTGATTTTTGATTTTCGTATCGTCCGCCTCTGAAACCGTGAATTGTTTTGACCCGTCGGCTATTTTGTTCTGTTCTTATTTTTTCGGGGTATATTTATCGGACGAGAATAACCCCGAGAATATTATGACCTCCGTCCCCACTTGATTTCATATATTTCGTTTCGGAGAGCGGTTGAAACACGATCGATGCCTGATATTCGCGCAAATAATGATACCGAACGGTCCGTCAGAAATTCCTCGCGGCCGGCCGTTCGTCGAGGCTTCAGAGGTTAACCCCCTTCGTTTCGTACGCGAAACGGTGCTTTTGACATCGTGTCATCGGCCGGTCGCGTATCGGTTACACGCACCACGTTCCGCTCATTTATAAGCGGGGAACGAACGGCGAGAGATTTCTGAAACGTTCGCCCCGTTGATTTTTGACGCTCATTTCGTATACGGCACCGACATTTACTGCTGCGCAATCAAACGCAATTAAAATATTCATGCAACCGGCTCGATATAAAGCGACAAAACAGAGGGGAAACGAGTATCAAAGTTACACGGGAATTGGAATAATTCGGTTTTAATACCGTGAACGCGGAAAAGAGAAAATTATTGGAGGGGGAGACTCACGGAGACTGACAAATGTGTACAGAGAAGGTCAAAGGTATTCGTGCGTATCGAATAATATATGGGGACCGTTAGTAGAGTAATTAACTTCTGTCCTTACGTATTTGTTATGGCCAATGTCTAGAAATACGTGTAACGTATGAATACATAGAAAAAAATTGTTCATTGACCGATAACTATTAACATCAATGGACAATATTGTTTTTAGTGTTCTACCAAGTTAAAGCTTATTTCTACCAATCCATATGTTAAATGAAATGCTATATTATTATACAATAGTCAGGAGTAAATAATTTTTAACATAATATTGTACTACAAGTAGTACCGTTACTTGGTAATCATCAGTCGCTGACGTATGAATACTATTTTTTAAGTATTAATATTACAAATGTAGCTCTTCCTATATCCATATTTCTCCTGCATGAATAGTTTTGTCATTTCTTTATGTACGTTATCAACAGCGTAATAAATATACAAAAACAAATATATGTATACGAAAATATGTAAATAAAGTAAAATGTTCGTTCGATTACTGCTCGCCGGTGTCTATCACTCTCAGACTCGTAATTTGATAAATATCCAACTCGAGATGCGCGAACCCCTCGTCGTCCTCTACCTGCCTCAAAGCTTCAATATCCATTGATAGGAGTGTCTTCAAAGCCTCCGGTGGTGGAACCTGTAACAGTAGGTAAGAGGATTTCGATGCGTCCTTGCATAATATTATAATACTCGGAAGCGATGACTTTAATTATCCTCTGTCTCTAACGCGCTGCACATTGTGCACCAAGATCTATTTTGAGGCAAGTCATCGGGTGGGTAACATTTAATGCGTTTAAGCAATGTTTCACGCTTCGATCGTCAGTGTGGTTTTTCGAGAGGCTGGTGTTTCCGTAGAATCTTGGCGCAATGTGCAACGAATGCACTCGAACAATAGTATGGAATACTCAGAAGGTACTTTATGTACATAACAGCTGAACGAATATTATGTTTGACTGAAGAAATTCGTATATATATTAACAAAGGTATATTAAATATGTATTATATAAATTTGAATTGATACGAAACATTACTAGGTGCCGGAAAAAAGTTCGTATGGTTTTATAATACAAACATCAGGCAAACATAATTTTTTAAAAATATTTCTAAGGTTTTATAAGATTATAAGTTCCATTAACAATAAATTCTTGAGTATTACTAACTAAAGTGTATTTAAAATGCTGGTTTGCTAAAAAATTTGATGTAAATATAAATAATTGGTTATCCTACAGAAGAGGGTGTAGACTATAGGAAGCATACGATAAAATTTCTCATTTTAGCGGTAAAAGGAACGAATGTTAGCTTTGGTAGCCGTATTTAGTTTGTACAGTTAATTAAACAACAAAACAAATGAAACATAAAAATATTATGTCGGAACCCTTCATTAACATTAATACTGTTGATTAAAATAATATTCAACATTTTGTTGCGAATTTACTTCATTAATAATTTGAGGTACGAAAACTTGTGTTTCGAGTACTTTCATCGGTCACTGTAAATCGTTCATTTACTTCAACAATGACAAACTTAAAAAATTAATATTCATTATAACTTTTAGGAAGACCATATTGAAGTGCTAAATTGCTACAATAAGATATCGAAGTGGGAGAAAAGTATTATTCCGTTCTGTCAATAAAAACTACGAGCAAAAACCGTTTTTCTTGTGCCAAAAGCTCAAAAACGGCAAATTTGGAGTTGTAGCATTGTTACAGCAGATCAGCGCAACGTAGTTCATCAACCGCTTTGTTATTTTTTCAAAAATTCATTTCAGTCTTCAGAATTAATCCCGAAATTCTCTCGAATTGGAAACCGTACATCGAAACGGAAACAATAGTCATGTCAAGTTTCATTGATAACTGATATTCAGATTACCTCCGGATGCTGTTGAAGCCATTCGACGAAAGCTCTGACGCTCTTCAAATGTGTGATATCCTTCCAAACCATGTCCATCGATTCCAGATCCATCGGTACATGCTCGCATTGCAGCCAGTTCTTGCTAACATGATTTTTAGGCGGCACAAATTTAAGTCCCCACGGTATCGCGGTCCCAAACGCCTTTGTCTTCGCCGGTGTCCTCTCTGCTTTCGCGTCTCTCATGACGTGTTTCTTCGTCATGGCGAGCTTACTCGCGCCTGGAGTGTGTCTTATGAAAGCTACCTCCGCGGGCACCACCGGCATTTCCTTGAACAATACCTGTACACAAGAAACACATCGATCGAACAAACTACTTACAGACTCCTCTCGATTATTGTATGGCTTTATCTACACGATTATTGTCTAGGCGTCATCCCCACCACTGGGGGACGAGAGGTTGGAACCTATCAAGCGCATACTTTGTTGCCCTTCTGCTTTTGTTGCCGAGGTTCGGACTTCGGACAAAAAACGAATTTATCAGAGTCTAGAGCATTTCTTCCTATAAGATTATTGTCCCGACGCGGACCCGAGTTCGGGACGATAATCGAGAGGAGTCTGTAGTAATTGTCAGTTGCCTGACTGGCATAAATTGGAATAAAAGTTTTAACAAAGTCCAGCGAAGCTTTTATATCATATTTAATCCACTTAAATTCATAACGAGGGAAAACGGATTTCTGTTTACTTCTCTCTATCCTAACCTAGTCCACGGAAATGTTTGTCGGATGAAACCACCGCAACCTATTTATCGTGTTTAAAAACGTGCTCCTCAAATACAGTCCTGTTTCGTCACGAGGAAATAACTAGAAGACTTCGAAGCGAATGTTTCTCTTTCACCTGCATCGCTTTACAAGCTTCCGCTTTGAAATCGATTTCAAACATATCCTGCAGAATCTCCTCGTCCACAGTGTTGTCCGTTCCGCCTAAAGTCTCGAGCCACTGGCAGAAGTCCTTGCATATCCTCGACATTATATTATCCGCTCTCATTTTGAGGGTCGCATCCGCGTCGTATCCTTCGAGATCAGCTTTCTTTAAAGGACGCCAAGTAATAACCTGACGTGCAAAAAAAGAAATAAAAAGAAATTACCTCTCAATTCATCCTTCCTTACTTCGTAATTTCAAAATCGCCCGTTTCCCATTAATTCAACGATACCACACACACCTTGCGTCTCGGTTTCTTCAGAAATAGAGTGTAAGGATTATATGTACGATGGTGACCCACTTTCTCCTCGTCACTGAGTGATTCGATGTCTCCCGGCATCGGCGGATGCACCTTGATAATTATAAAAAGCAGTGTCTTTGAAAGGATTTATAGTAAAATAAAGACAACCAGCTGACCTATTAATAGTGTCGTCGCCAATGATCCAAAATTATAAAAACTTATACTTTTGTTCCGAATAACGAACACACGTGCCTCTAGAGACGCCGAACTATGGTCATCATTGGTCATCGTCGTTTCGCTAGAACTCGTACGATCGTTATCGTCCACGTACGAAATGCGCCTCTTCTTATACCATTCCGGCAATCCCAACAAAGGCGCAACGAGATTGTAGGAGTTTTGGGGCAGGATTCGTTGCAGGAGTCGAGGGTTGCACGGGGGCGGCTGATTCGTGGAGAAAAGTAAGTCAGAGGGGAATTTGTCTGGATTCAAATACCGTTTAGAATCTACTAACAACCTTGTCAGCGTCGCAATCATTTTCCTATTCTTTTCCATCTCGGAATCGTCGTTCGAAACATTCCGCGAAAGTCGTTCCGAAAACTCTTTGCATAAGATTTCCAACATAGACGCAGATGATGCTACTTCTTTAATGTCCTTCAGTAATTCTACGATCTCGTTTACGTCTCTCAATGGCAGTTTCGATACCAGTTTTGAAAATTGGGCTGTTGTTTTCGAAGGTGAATCGGTTCCCAATTCCTTTAACACTTCCTTTGATGGATATTCACCCTTTTCTGCGTCATAGTCGTCTTTCGTTACACTGAAGTTCGCGAAGCTGGTTCCTTTTCTGAGAACGTGTTCCTTTCTCGTAGCTTGTTCTACCTTCTCCAAAGTGAACTCTTCCGGAACGGATTTCGCTTTCGTTAAGATTCTGCCGGTTGGACCGTCTTTTTTCCCTTTGCCTGCTTCGGTTTTCTGAAGAACGTCTTTGGATTTCTGTTTCTCTTGGGCCTCGTCAAAATCTTCAATTGATGTGCTATACTTCATGGGCGAGGACTCTAGAAAAGCGATTCGATCCTGCAATGTTGTCGGTTTTCTGTTTCTTAGCGCTTTTAGAGGTTCTAAGCTAGGCTTAAAAACCGTTGGAGCGTGACAGGGAGCTAAATATTTAGGCTTGGATTGATCCTCGCCTATCGACATAGCGAGAGAATCGTCCTCCTCGGAACTACAACTGTGGAACGACGAGGAAACTCTGAATCGTTCCAGAGGTGGAACTTGTTCAGACTTCGCGGTATCATTCAAATTTTTTCCCACCGACGTTGACTCGTCGTCCCGTTGATACTCTTTATCTTTCTGCGTAATTGCTTTATGCGAAGATTCTGAATTTGGATCACTTCGTCCCACTTCGGTTCGTACTTCTTCATACTTTTCCTGGGACAAGGCGGGGGTTTCTTTAACTATTTGACTCTCCTGAATATTATACGCTTCATCAAACATTACGCCCTCGGTGTTGACTTCGCAATTTAAAATTCTTTCGGTTTTGTCCTCGAAGTCCGGAATGCTGATAGAAATTGTGTCGCTGTCTTCGGTTGTTTCTTGGGGAGGAGCAACTTGCGTCTTTTGGGAATTTATAATTCTTTGTAATGCGGTCAGAGGGAGAGAAATCTTTCGTTCTGGCTGTACTTCGAACGTTTTGTGCATACACGGCAAGCATTTATCGCGATACTTCCTTGGAAAGCTAGACAGTTTCGGGATCGATGATAGAACGCAGCTCGAAGGACTCTTCCATGGCTCTGGGTGCATGAATCGAGGACTCGGCCCTGATGTAGAACGCGACCCCGAGGGAATCGTCGACGTCGTCTCCTCCGATTTCAAAGTTGTATACTGGGCATCGATACCAGTGAATTGTGAATCCTTAAGTATTTCCGTAGATTTTTCTGTATCTCTGAATTCAAGTAGCTTCATTCTTTCATTGTCACTGTGAGGAGAATGATTTTTTAACCGAGAAACAGATTGATCGGACAAATATTCGACCGTTCGGGGATCGAAGTTTAATTTTTTATTAGGTGTTAAATGTTTCAACGCTTTGTAAGCGCGTCGAATGGAGTACTTTAACGAGCTTTGATGTGATTCGAGTGTTTGGATATTCACATTCGTGTCTGGTATTTGTAAGAACGTTTCTTGCGGATGATGTTTAGTGCTCGGAGTAGATTTTATTTTTGGTAAGCTATCTCTGTGTGCTAATTTAGAATGATCCGATTTTGTTAATTTTGATTCTTGTACGGACACTGCAGGATGTCCATTCAATAGAGGAAGAGTCGAAGAGCTGGTAGACAAACTTTTACCTTGTGCTTTCAGTTCATTTTGAACGTCGAAAGAGCTACGAATATGATCCAGTTTTCCGGAGAAAATTTTACGGAAACTAGGTTGAGAGCTGAGAGTATCTAATTTTGGAATTCGTACAACTTTAGATGGTGTGCCAAGATTACACGATGTATCCGGACGTTTTGATGGTGCTTGGGATGGAACCTTTGATATTGACTTCGGAAATAAGTCCGCAGCATTATTATAATTCTTATTCAACTTACGCCTCGATGTTGCAATTGACAACTTATGCAAAGAGCCTTTGGAAACAACAGAATCATCTACGTGAAATTTATAAGAATTTACATTAGACGCTTTATTGTTACTGAATTCGTTAAAATGAACTGGTTTAGAATCATTCTTGGAAAAGGAGCTATAGGATAATTTAACAGAAGGATCTCTTACTACGAGCAGCTTCTTTTCTTCATTCTCGCAAAACTTCTCCCAATATTCTTTGGATTTTGGAATTGGATATTCCCATCTGCCAATAGAAGGATGAATTATTCGAGGGTTGCAAAGAATGAAATTACTATCATAAGATTCGCGTACCTTCGTCCATCCAGCTTCATTTTTTCGCCGAATGTAATATATTCCTCACAAATATTACTCAAAGAATCACTCATTTTGATAGAATTTCGAATACAGTGAATTCGGTCACGTCAATAAATATTAGAAGGACGAAATTCTGTTTTCAACCAGGTTCTATAACCTGCATCGTGACATCTACTGAGAAATATTCTTCATGGTAGTTTCGACTATCGATCAAACAAAATCTGACCGAATTCAAGGTGCATGCATAGGGTTGAAATTGATTCTAACGTTAAGGGAGGCATCATGTGTTGGTGGCGGTACCTTAGGATGGTACACTCAACGAGTGTTCTATTTGATCAGCAACTGTTTCAATAGGGAACATTTATTGCAACAAAGGATTGGATTGATAGAAACCACTAAGAAGAATAAAGTAAGTTATACGATGATTTTGGGTTAGCTTAGAGTTGAATTAAATGTAATTCCCGAATGCACCGTTCTCATAACGTAGATGGCTCAGAAAACTCTGATTTTTTGCTCAATCGGTATTTCAGAACATGTGACACGAAGTCTATTCTATGAAGTATAAAATAGTCTGCAATAAACGAGCTCCTACTATAGATATATATGTTTTTCTATTTTATATATCTTGTCTGTGACACATATCTCGTCTGTGTATCATCAAAGCATGAATATCGTCTGCGATTACAGACGAGATATGCAGTGTCGATTCTGCAGTTGTTTCTATGTACCAGGTGTCCGTAAAATAAATTCCTTTAGAGTTCTCAACATTTCGGATCAATACCGTAGGACGTTGAATTTTCTCTGGCTGGAAAAGTTGGCAATATGTACATATATTTCGTGTATACAGATAAGTTTCAGGGAATTAGCTTGCCTGGTCGCAAAAAGATGGTGTCACATGTCAATTCTTCCGAGAATAAAACTTTCTGATAACAGAATGGGTCGAGAATTAAGAATTGAGTTGTGGCGCCATTTCCCGGCAACTCCTGAACTAAACCTCTTTGGCCCTGTTCCAGAAAATTACCAATAGATGGCGACCCAATGCAATTTTTCAGAAATTTAATTCACAAATATCCAATTTACCGGCGTTACAGATTCCTAATTTCACGAAGACTCGTCTGAAGTTTAGTTTATTCTTATACCTGCTATGAGTTAATACAGAGTACCAGTCTTTCGAATCCAATTTCCATCGTCCCCGATATACTTACCCATTGTTTGATAAAACGTGTTTCCATTGGTTTAACCCTCACTCTGTTATGTTCGTCATCGTTTTACCAATCAGAATTCTTCGAAGTAATCCAGAATAATTGATATCAGACGTCAATTTTTTCTAGCAGTTTCTTTAATTATTTTAATTTATAAATGTTCCCATAATTGACCATACAAATATCGTGCAATGATTTTCATCCATCTCTCGGGGAAGCTTTCTGTAATGTTCCGAAGCAATTGCGGTTTCCTTCACAGATATTCGGGGATCGTCGAGGAACTTCGAAGATTCGTTGGCTACCGTTTATGCTAACGACGAGACTTCTAATCAGAAATTATAATTGTTAATTCGCCAAATGATCCGAAGTATACCGTCGGAGGGGTGAGCAGTTTCCGGCAAAGCTACGTGCTCCCTTGGCGCTCGACAATTTCGAACTTCTTCCGTAGGAATATTTATTTCCCTCCAGCGATTCCTCTAACCGATGATCTTTCGTTCCCTTACGGAAAATAGGGAGTTTGCGAAGTATTATTGTGGACAGAATATCGCCGAACGAAAGTAGGTAAATAAATAAAATTTCGAATCCTTTCCGATTAGGTCTCCAATGCCATAGGTTAAATTAATTACTTTGACGTTGTCACATTAAAATAAGTGCAATACTATTTGTTTCTCAGGACAAAATAGAATTTCACAGTTGATTAGATAAATTAAATAGATTAGTTTGGCTAAGAAGGATCTTATGTATTATTCGTGTCATAAGGCGGTATATTTACATATTTCGCCTAAATAAGATTTGCTCCAAACATTCCGTCTGACCAATAACGGTCGTATACTACTTCTACGGATAGACATGGTCTACCTACTACTTGTCTGACCAGAAACAGCCCAGTTACAACTTGTCTGACCAGGTGCGATCATATACTACTTCTACACTACAAATGCTACATCTATACAAGTCCTAGTCTGACCAATAATCGTCCTATACTACTTGTCCACCCAGGAACAGTCCGTATACTGCTTGTCCGTTCGTAAACCGTCCATGGATCACTAATATGACCAATAGCAACTACTATACCATTTGTCTGATCTAAAGTACCCACAAATAACCAACAGGAAGATCCCACAATGTCTCCTGAATCAAGAATTCTCTATTTTATGTCTTGATAAATTGCTAATGGTATCAACAGAAAAATGAGGGATGAAGCAATGATTTCTGGGTAAGGCTTTGCCGAGGACGACGTTGAATCTGGACGGTTAACGATGCAGGGCGCTCGTTTTATCGTTGGAAAAGCTGCGAAGGGCGGTTATTATTAATTGCTTCCAGAAGGGTTTTACAACCGGCCCGGTTAAAGCCTCGAGTCTTTTTACGAGCGTCGAACGGGCCGCCTCCGTTTCCCTGCTCCCCTTATTCTCGTGCGTTCTATCGCGTCGGCCGGACACTCGAACGGAAACTTCATTTACATCGGTAACATCTATAAAATGGATTAATCGCTGCTGGCCGTTCAACGAC